TTTATTTTTGCCAGTTTGTAGAGATCCTCTATTTATACCCTGAACCCATTGAAAATGGGTAAAGAGGGTATTATGTATTTGTGCAAATATATGTAACAGGCAGAATGATGCAACTCCGACTCCGTAAAGTTTATATATTCTTCATCAGCATTAATAGCCGAGTCGATCAAAGTCAAGTCCGCCTATCTCTCACTCCGTCCGTCCATCTGTCCGTCCGTATGTACGAACGCCTGATCGTATGTCCGAAAGCAACGATATCAGAACCTATAAGAGCTAGAGACATTAAAATAATAACTGTAAGTCCTCCTAAAGCCTGCGCAGATCGAGTGTGTTTTCGATAACCGATAAGTTACGTCGTTTCCAAGCAATTCAATTTCAAGTCTCTAGCTCTTATAGGTTCTGAGATCCTTGCGTTCATACATACGGACGGCCAGACAGACGGACATGGCTAGATCGACTCGGCTATTGGTGCTGATCAGGAATATATATACTTTATGGGGTCGTAGATGCTTCCTTCTGCCTGTTACATACATTTGGATTTTGCACATATACAATATACCCTTATACCCATTTTTAATGGGTTCAGCGTATAAAAACGCCGGACCTCGAGTCAGGAAAGGAAAATACTTATTTAAATCATTAATATCATTAATAGCATTTGTATTATGTGTAGCACATATATCAGTTATATCATTTTGTTGCTGCAAAAATTTTATTTTCAGTTTCATGTCTGACTCATAAGCTGGCCTAGCTTAGAATAGTTATATACTCTCATCATTCCATTGACAGTTGTTTTTATCGGGTACTTCAAAATATATATTTCAGTGTCAAGCGACATCCGATGTCATTTATTATAGCTTGAACTTTGTGACATTTACACAGAGTCCGACATAGTCCACAGTCCAGCAATGTTCGGACTGCTCAGGCCTGATAACGTTTTTCTTCTTTTTTTCGTTTCCTCCCCTAGAAGCTGACATATTTTGTGCACCACTTATACATGATTATTTGATATTTCCATACTTTTTACATGCTCTCATGTAATGTTTGCCCCGCTCCAACTTCAGAAAGTCCTTCCCTAAGGACGGTTGATGGGTTGGACGCCTTCTATCGGCGTCGTCCCGTCCTGATACTTATTGATAAATGATTGTGAAGGATTTTTATTGGCTGTGCTGTCACAACGCTTGTCTCTGGCTTCAACGCAGCTCCCTGCTGATGGCCTGGACACGGGACTCGCTTGTCCCTTTGCCCGCCCATGGTTATAACGGGGTGATACCCGGATCCATAACTGCCGGTGCTGGAGCACACGGTCTGACGACCAGCTGCCGGATCTGTCTTCTGTCTTCTTATCAACAGTTTAGCGGCTTCTGTGTCTGACAGGTGAATAAAAGCAGCTGTCAACACTTTTTCCATGCTGCTGTGTATGTGAGTGTGTTGGTTTGTGTGTGTCTGTGTGTGTTGCTTGTGATTGCAACTCCATTAATTTTGATATAAAGCATATTGATTTTGCTTATAAGCGCTTTGTTTAACTTATATGCTATAAATTCCGCAGATAGGCTTAGGCACATTACAGCACTAACATTAAATATTGACAGCTTTTGACAACAGTTAAGCATACTTTTTGTATACAAATTAATTAAATCGCATTTATATGAATATGGAAATTTTATTGATATCAGAATTTAGCTAAATGCAAAGGGTATTCCACTGCTCTTCTAAAAGCTCTTCGCTGGAAATTGTACTTTTCACTGACAATTGTGGAGCATTTTATAAGCCAATTACGGCTAATTGCTGCATATGCTAAGGCTCTTAGCCAAGCAAATGGCAATCAACAGTTGAAAATCATGGCCTAAAGACGACATCATCGAAGGCAAATTGAGCCACATTGCGAAAGAGCATTTTATGCCCAGCTCCGAATGTCATAAACCAATTCAATGGCCCATAAGGTGCTGACAGGGTGTGTGCGTGTGTGTACTCGTGGGCGGGGTGTGAAGAGAAAAAAGCCAATGCAGTTTTGCTTTTAAATCCGCACAATGCTGTAAAATTTATTGATACACTCTGCTTGCAATAAAAATTGATGGCAAAAACACATTTACACTGACAAAGCAGCTGCAAGAGCGAGCTGTGAGTGCGGCGGGTGCCAGCTATAATTTTTCATTTCATTGTTTTGAGTTTTGCTTTTTCTTCTGCCGCAGTGTTTTTGGGGAGCTGTGGGAAAATGCGCGAACGCAATGGATTAAATGCGCCGACGAGAGCCAAAGTAGGAAAACGCAACGGCGCAAAGTTCTTTCTATGCTGCACAAGGAAAATTCGTGAAAATGGCAGACGGAACTGGAAACGAATATTTTTTTTTCATTTATTTCGGCGGAAAAATGCGCGAGTGGCATTGGAAAGTGGAACAGTAGGGTCGGCAGGGCGGGGAAAGAGAGACAGCCACTGCGACAGCTGAAAACTGCAATAAACCCAAAAACGGACGGAAATAAAAGCAGAAAAATAATGTCCCCAACTAAAAATGAAAGTAAAAAAGTTTTCCCACAACAAAAATAAAATAAATACAAATAAATAAATTTCATAAGTAAAAGGCAGCCAACAGAAAAAAATAAAAATAAAAAAGAGCAAGTGAAATAAAAACAATTGTTAAGCTGGCAAAAAACCAAAGCGACGAGTTCTTGATTATATTTTTATTGCCATAAGTCATAGACACACTACATGGCGTATGCGTAATACAACCTAAGGGCTAGCCACGCGCATTACGTGCGCTTTTAGAGCACTTAAGTGTGCCCAAAGTCTAAGTTCTTATTTGGCTGAGACACGATTGGCAATCGTGGGCCATGATGTTGCTCGCCTGGCATGCAAATCATTTTTAAATGCTAACAAATTTCGTTCAATTTATTTTGACGCTGCTCAGAAATAAATTACAACAAAGCCGCAGCCGCACGGAAAAGTTATGAATAATGTTTAAAAATAAAACCAAACGGAATGGCAAATAAATCAATCTTACACCCAGCCTCTGCCGAGGCAGAGGTAAAAGTCAATGACGCTGCGGGGCAGCGGGGCACCGGGGCAAGGGGCACAACTGTGCGCCCAGTGAATTTGCTGTAAAAAGCAAAGAACTTCAAGCCATGCACAGCGAGAAAAATCAATAAAGATATTTTATAAGCACGATATAAGTCGAGCTACTAGTTGGGGGCTGGGTCAACTGTAAAGTTTTTTTACCCTCACACGGACAACAAGCCCAGTTATGGCATTAAAATCCAACAGCATTTTTTATGGCCGCCCTTCAGTTGGCCAACTTTGAGCTCCTCTCCTGCTCTCGGTCCTCTCTCTCTCTCTGGCATATTTGTCTGCTCATTTGCGTTGGCTTAAAGTTTTGCCTTGCCGATGGCTGGCTCTTTGTTTACCCTCTGCCAGCGTCTGATCATTTACAATTCAACATTTTGCCCAAGCTCATGAATTATGTTTTCATGTTTTGCTTTTTCACTTTTTTCACTTTTCTTGTTGATCTGGGGCACCCCTCTAACCGTCCCCTTAAATCTGTGGAGGCAGCAAAAAGTACGCTAATAGCATCTTGTAGAAGCAATGAAGTAAAATCAGAAAATCGAAAAAATTTCCTTTAATTTTCATTCTAATTTCCACTCCAAGCACTTTTTCTGCGAAAAGCTGTCGGGCTTCATTAAAATCGTTTATGCTTTAAATAAAATCAATCATTTGCCATAGTTAAAGCAATTTTAGGCTGAATGGAGCCGTGATTAAACCAACGGCTGCCAGCGAGTGGAAATTGGCAGCCTCTTGACTAAGTGAGTTAACTGTTTTGACATGAAGTGCACGTACGAGTGTGTGCGATTATTTGCATAAGAGCACGTGGCAAATGCAAGCGAGAAAATCAGAAAAAAAAATCAGCTGGCAGCCCACGGGCCGTATGCGTGTTGAACAAAAAACCAATTTATACAGCCAGCTGCGGCCACAGTTGCTCCTACAAAAGGGGTAAACTAATTTGTAAGCTTGTTTGTAACAGCTAGTAGGTGAAAATTGAATTGCAACCAACGTGTATATTTTCATCAAAGTAAATTTATCTTGCTGTTAAAGTTTTTATGGGAAAACGCTTCAAAAATTTTATTTTATTTATTTAATTTTGAATTTATTTCGATAGAGTATTTCAATTGCGACTTACTGTTGTGTATATATTTTTTTTATTATTTTTTTTTGCTATTAATTTCATATATTTTAAAATTATTTTGGGTTCAGCTGTTAAATTGCGCTGCTAGCAATCGTAAATTTGTAAATTGCATCATTCACAATTTTTCGACAGCAACAACAATAGCCGCAACCCCTTAGGACTGAAGTCGATATTACAATATCAGGCCGACAGGCACTCATTCATTTTTAATGATAATTACACATACATACGCACACTTGTATACACATTTATCTGCTAATGAAGCTGTAATTGTACTGAAAGTATCTTCCGCTTTTCACAAATTAGGACGTATTTGTATAGCAAAATTTATAAATATATACAATTGTAACCTAAACTGATATATTTATTTTGCTGACTAAGAATATTAGAAAAAATCTATGAAAAATATCATTGAAGCCTTTTCACTACGCTTTACTTCTCTGGGTGGAAAATGGGGTTCAATTTTAAACTTTTCACGTACAAAGTCGGGTTTCATTAGCAGGTAACCACTTGCTCGGACAAATCTTCAGTATATCAGTTAATTACTTATTTTGCTTTTCATCACTCACAAAAACGTTTGCGGCATACCCTTAATAAATATATAAGTTGCGTTCAAGCAGAATTTGCAAAAGTTTTGGGCTATCTGAGGTCAATAAAAGCTTTTAATTTGATTAATTAACCCAAAAGCATTTCTAGCCACTTACATAATTAACAAAAAGAGTTAATCAACTAATTGGGTAAAAGCAAATTGAAATGTTAATTGCAGGCCAGAACACAATTATCTTTAATATTTCAAATTAAGATTGTTTTTTCTTTAAGGACTTACCAATTGTCATGTAGAGAATGCCGCCAATAAGTAGCTGTGCCAGCGGCTTGGAGCTATGTGTTGCTCCGTTAGTGCTCCTGGTGGTGTTCCTGGTAATGGTGGTGCTGATGGGCACCCGGCCAACTGCGGCTATTCGCATTTTGGATCGATTTTTCCACAAGCGCATGCTGCGCTCCCGCCCCTCTTTTTGAGAGCTCTGATAATTGTGTTCACCTACGCAGAAATAATGCGAATCTCGGCACTTTCACATTTACTTATATTTCGCTGTACTAAAGAAGGCGGCAATTGCCGCGTCAGAGATATGTAAACGCATTTAACACCTAGCCGAAATAAATCTCTACTTCTGTTGGTTTTGCTGACTGCGAACACGTGGCGTATACGAAATGTTAAGGATTTTGCCACTCGGTTTGTTTCACTCTTGATTTCTGCGCACGTTGACGAAATTTAACGCGCAAACAATTTGACAAATAAAAATTATTTGCTGTGAATATATATATGTAGATATACACGTAAATCGCATGAGTCGGCGATCTTTTATGGGACGGTCGCTTTTGCTTTGATTTTTTTTGTCGATTTTATTGTCAATTTTATTGCGCAAACTTTTCACACTTCCGCACTTCGACGACTGTTCATAATTTTTGCATACGATTGTTTATTTGTTTGTGCCTGTTATTGTTTTAGTTTGTCTTCTATTTTGTCTCTTTTAGTTTTATGAGCTCTCCACTGGCTGCACTGTAAGTAAGTCTTTCTTTAGTTCTTCACACTCCGAAGACCGCACACATTGATCCACGCGGACGAGTTGTTATTCCAGCTGAAAAACAACATCTGTCAGGTTGGGGCCAATTTCGTATCCTTTGGATTTGTGTTTATTTCGGGCGCATTTATCTGGAATGAAATAAAAGGCAATCAGGGTTTTTAATGTACCGTTAATAGCGGTCGAGAATCGATTTATTTGCTACTGCTAAATGCCAAGTGATTTACTCTACTTAGCCCTATACATTTGTGTGTGTGTGTTGTGTGTGTGTGTTGGGCGTGGCCAGCTTCCTTGCATGTGTGTCCCTGTGTTATTGTAGATAATTGCTTTTGCTGCTTTCGTGTTTAGTTTTGCGCTCAATTAATTATCTCAACTTACGCCATTTGCGGACTTAGTGCCCCCAATTGGCCTTGCCAGATGCCACTGTCCGCTGCAATTCGTATTCAATGCCGCAACGCCTATATCTCACATATATCTCTAAAATCCATCATTGTATTTGTATTTGCCGCTTATCTCATTAACCACGAAAACAGTTTACAGCAAGACTCACAGCTGATGATGGTGGGTCATTTGTTGCGAGTTTAAATTATAAAAACATAATTTGCGAAAAGCAGACAGTTCTTATTGAATTGTAAATATTACAAGTCAAATATTTTTAAACCCTGGACCCATTTAAAATTGGTATAAGGGTATATTGTATATAGCCGAGTCGATCTAACCATGTCCATCTGTCTGCCTGTCCGTCTGTACGTATGTATGAACGCAAGGATGTCAGAACCTATAAGAGCTAGAGACTTGAAATTTTAGATGTAGGTGCTCCTAGTGCCTGCACAGATCGAGTGTGTTTCTGATAATCGATTACCTACGTTGTTTCCAAGCAATCGATAAAAACCAATATCGACATCCTGTTTTTTGAGCAAATTGGGTAAATAATGAGAGCTAGAGCCACCAAACATAATATGTTGCTTCTAGAATATTATATATACATATGTCTAGTATCTTTCATTTTATACCTATCACTACCTCCCCGCTACCACCTTAGGGCTATAAATCAAGTTAATAACCCAACTTTTATTGCCAAGCAATTCAAGCCACAATTTAAATGCAATTGACCTTTTCAGAATACACCAATATTATATGGTACAATAAGATATACTGTAGAAAATTTCATAAAGATCAGTTAAGAAAAAACCAAAGTTATATTCAACTGCGCAATCGAATGGGACATATACATTATATGTGTATATACATATATTTTTTATTTAACAGCTTTAAGAATTTCTGTATACATCACACACACATTCATGCGCGTCTGCTTCGCATTCTAACAGCATGGTAATTGCGACTTTTTTCTGTAATGCTTTTTCAGTTCCTTTTTTATCAAACGTACTTAATTGTTGGTGTGGCTGCTGAGTAGAGGCATAGCAAGTGGTGCGGTCTGTCGCGAGTTCGAGCCCTATCGGGGAAAGTAAGTTTTTGCTGGTGTAGCTGTTGAGTAGAGTCGACAGCAAGTAATGCATGCGGTCAGTTGTGAGTTCGAACCCTGCCTACTTTTTTTTATTTAATTTATTTGGTGTTGGAATAAGAGGGTTCAGGATATACCTTAGTCGGGATCTCCCGACTAGAACATCTTACTTGTTTTTATTATGAGAATCTCAGTTTAAGGTAATTAATTTATTGCCCATTTTTATTCCCATTTGTTTGCTATCTGCACGGTTAATTAAATGTTAATTTTTGCCTTTAGAAATCGTTCTTAAATTTTTCCTCTTTTCATTTAGTCGCTTTTCACAACGGCTATTCAACATTTTAGCTGTATGTATTCAAAAGGTAATTTTTCACAGAATTTCTGTTCATTTTGCTGTCTGTCAGCAGCAGCTGGTGTCCAGCAAGTGGCTCACGCTGTCTCTGTCCCTTCGTCTATTTGTCGCCGAAGCTCTTCGAGCTTCCCAGAGGTTTTTTACAGCCCGTTGAATGGGGTATATTTGTTCTGAGCAAAGGTGTGTAACAGACAGGGGTAAGCAGCTGCTACCCCACAAAGATATAAATTCTTGCGTTTAACCGTCCTTTTAGCATGTTTATTTTGTAAAGCTAGATTAGCTTGGCGTTTAGGGTATCGCTTAGCCGTACATTGAAGACTAGTGCACCTTAAATTGTTTTTTGTTAGTTTTCGCAGAAAAACTGACAAATAAAAATTCATCTTCATAATTTTCTACACGTTACTGCCAACTCATCTACATAAAGGCACACACACATACACATGACATAAGTAGTTGTGCGTGTGTGTGTGTGTATGTAGCGCATCAAAATGTCAGCGAAAGCGAAAGGCGGAGGCAGTTATGCTGAAAGGACACTCCCATCAGCAGCAGCGGCAACGGCAGCGCCTGCTCCCGCACCAGTTCCCGTGCCAGAACTTTGTTCCTTTATTCCCCACTTCGCCCGTTTCCCCCATCACCCGCTTGAATGTAGGCCACTGGCAAAATGTTGACTTTAATGTTGCTGTCGCTTAAAATTTATGCAGCTGACGGTCACAGCTCGTCCCGGCTGTCAAGCAGTACTGTGAGGAGGAGGAGGATGGCGGCGGGGCGTGGCGTGACGTTGCTGGCATCATGCATCCTGTTTGGTGGGCGGCACAGACAAGTGGGCGTTGCACGAAAGGCTCAGTCGAGCGTGCATTTTTCACGAAAATTTGAAGCGCCAGCTACATCTGAAGATTTATGCGGGTCGCTTAATAACTTGCATACACACACGCACACATTTTCAAACACTCACACATGCTCACACACAAATAGAACGATGAACGTAATTAAAAAGTTTGTCTAAACAATTCTCTAATTAAATATTATTTGCCAGTCGGCCACATTGAGCTGTCGGAGCGCTGAAGTAGTCGAAACACAGTTTTCGAATTCCAGAAATATGTGTGTGAGTGACTGTGTGAGTGTGTGTGTGTGTGTATCTGTCTGTGTGTGTTGGGAGCGAGGGGTAGGACGAGAGGGTGCCGGTCCCCGGTTTTATGGCTTGAATATTAATGTCTTGACATTTAGCTGAATGAAATTTTTGGCAAAAGTTTTCGTAGCTGCTATGCCACAAATGTTGCTCAATTTGGTTGTATAGTGTTTTCTATTCCATTGCTTCCGTCCCGTCTAGCACGTATCGTTGGCTTTTCCTGGAAAAACGCAATGCCATCAAAACAAGCAACGGAATACCATGCCAATGGCAACCGCATGACCCCCAACAACATAATAGCTTAATGACAAAACCACCAAGTACATAGTTGAGCGGCCAAATTGAGCAGCTCTTACTTATTCCAAGTGAACGAAGTCAAACATTTCCACCCATTACGAGCTTCAGCTCAATGGTTGATAAGTGGAAAAGGGGTAAACAGTGTGGCGGGAGGGGTCTGTTGTGAGGCAATATGGCATGTGCATTAAAAGCATACAACACATGAGCTGGAAAAGGTCACGCTAGGGCACTTTACTTCAAATTAAACACATTTAAATTAACTTCTGTTTGTCTATTCCAAATTAAGCACAGGAAAAGACTGTATGGACATTTTATAGGGTTTCGAAAGGATTTTAAATAAGGAAGGTATGTTCTATAGTATAGAATCTATAACTAAAATGTAATTCTTTTATGATATGTAAATCTGTCAGAAAAGCATGGTGTTCAAGTCCTTCACCCTTTTAAGATTTATTTTTTGCAGCTTATAATTCTCAAGCGGTTATAGATTCGGACTCTGGATAAGCCCTTGCAAGTCAAAAGTCGCTGGCTAACTTTGCTGATGATAGGGGCGGGTTCTTCAACTAGCTATACGGACAACCTGGTCACGCTTAGTGCTTATACCTTGTTAAAAAAAATCTTTTATAAATTGTCTTGTACTACTTCTACTTGTCTTCTACATTTTGAAGATATGTAAAAAACTATTGAAATAATTATTGTTTTTTCTCACGTCGAAAGCCTAGGTTATGGCTCGTCAATACATCATATTTTGTTCTAGCCAATACTTTTATATTATATTAACATTTTTACTGGATAAAATTAATCTAATTTGCCTTGGAATTCGTCTAGCTTTAATGTATTTAATATAATTTGATGATTCTCAAATCGAATTTTGTATAATGAACAAGTTTGCAGCCAATCCAAATAAGAGAGAAGTAAGAGGTTCTAGTCGGGAGCTCCCAACTAGGGGATACGCTGAACCCTTTTCTTCCAACATCAAATGCATATACATATTCTATTTTAGAAGCTATATGTCATATTTGGTGACTCTAGCTCTTATTATTTACCAAAATTGCCCAAAAAACAGGATATCGATATCGATTTTTATCGATTGCTAGTTAACGGAGTAAGTTATCGATTATCGGTAAAAAGCTCGATCTGCGCATGAACTAACAGGACCTACAGCTAAAGTTTCAAAGTCTCTAGCTCTTATAGTTTCTAAAATCCTTGCGTTCATACCTACGGACAGACGGACAGACAGACAAAAGGATATGGCTAGATGGACTCGGCTATTGGTGCTGATCAAGAATATATATGCTTTATGGGGTCGAAGATGCTTTCTTCTGCCTGTTACATACATTTGGATTTTGCACATAAAAAACTGACACGAAGATTTTCCACGCTTGTGGGTGGTTTCGAGGGGCTTGGCTTGGAGTACAAATGCGTCTGTCCAAATAGTTATATATATATATATATAGATAATTATGTATTTGAATAAATTAACAACAAATTTCTAAAATTGAAGAGTTTCGCTATTAAATTTAATTAAAGTTGATTAAAATCCAATGTATTTTTATGTGCAAAAGTGGAGTTTTAAGACGTTTAATTTTTTTTTTTTTTAGTTGTAACTCAGGGAAGCACACAGCTAATTAAATTGATATAGCTGTGCACAAGGGAATTAAATTGAAATAAAATGCATAAATTCTAGTTAGGTCCAAGTTTGATTTTCATTTGGTAAATGTGTTCAGGTTGTTGGACAGGTTTCCGTAGCTAGCGCTCCATATAAACAACATTTGCAGATGCAATCGCCAATTGTTGTTGTTGTTTTATGCTTCTTTTAGATTTATTTAATTTTTTTTTTCGTCGCTACACTTTGGCGTTCTCTCTTGGGAAATTTATCTAAATGTTGTTTCAA